AACAGGTGCACCAATTCTCAAGGCAGCGATAAGCAAGCTAAAAGACATGCCAAGAGTGGTTTTTCTTTTTCAGTTTTGCTCAGAAATCTTAGTTTGTTTAAAATTCTGAAAGTATTTGCATTTGGAAATATAAAGTAGGGAGAGTAGAATATAGAGGAAATGTCACATACATGCACAAAACTAAAAATTATTGTCTGGCTCAAATGATAATTTCGTTTCTGCCATTTTGAGCTTTCGAATTTTATAAATACTTCATGTTTTAAATGTTAGAAATAATATTTGTTATTTTAAATTATATTTAAAAAATATAATCATAATTTCTATATATTTCTTTGTGAAGAAATAAATAAATCAAAAACTTTCTCGGTGGAAAATATAGGGTTTCATAAACTTTTTGGGGCTCAATTCACACAAGTGTTTAATATTGGGAAATGTTTTATATAAGTAATATGTCAAACATCGATTTGAATTTGATTAGAAATAAACGTAATTCAAAGAAGTCTTGAGGGGAATATATGCGTGCAACTCGATTTTTAAAAAAAAAATTCTATTAAATGCTTAAACAAACTTAAAGGGTTGGAAATTTGCAATATTAAAAAGTTACAATTGAAATCTTTGATTCAAACTAACAAGACTTGAAATGAAAATATATTTAGGTACTAATTCTTATTCACATGCATTTAAGTATGTATTATGTCATATGTATTACATGTGTATGATTTATAGTTATACTAAAAAAAAATAATTACAATGATTGTCATTTTATCGATAAATTTCTTATGAAATAAAATAATTATAGAATTGTAATATTGTACTCTTTAAAGTATTACAAATATTAATTTTAATCTTAATATATTAACGGCTACCCCCTATATTTTGGAGGTCAGAAATCTGAATCCGTGAAAAAAAGGTATTTTTCTTCAGTAAAAGTACGTTTTTGTGTCTGGTTTCGTATCTTAAAATATCGTCTGCACTTATTATCTAGCATATTTGAGGTCACCCCTTAGAAACATAAGATTGAGTTCTAGAACGTAAATATCCAATCATTAGATCAAAAGTTTTTCAGGGTGGTCCGATTTTTTTCTGCTCACTGTGCCTACGAGATATTTTATTTTATTTTATAACCGTCGTTAAATAGCCCACCCAATTTTAAGCTCACAGCTATCAATGTTCAATTCCGTTGCCTTGTACCCTCCCACGGTTAGCCTGATGGCAAGGGGACTCTGACCCATGATCCATTTACTACTGCGGATATTTTACGTCAACACAGTGGTCGGTGGGAGACGAGTTCGGAATTCGTATTTAAAAGCCATTGCTGGGATTCGAACCCGTCACCTCATTGGAAGGCAAACCGCCATTCCCTGAGCCACCAAGGCTCTCATTCAATCGATTTTATTTTATTTTGTAACCGTCTTTGAACAGGGACACAATTTCTGTCTTTACGACTACTAACGTTCATCACCGTAGCTTTGTAATTTTGAACTCAATCCGGAATACAAGGGAACTCCTGTTTCAAGTATTGGGAGAAATTGTCTTCGTGGAGGACTTTTTGACGGAATTAACCAGCATTTGCGTTACATAGATAGGAAAACTCCGGGAAACCTCTTACGGTTCGCCTGAAGGCAAGGGGACTCTAACCCATGATACATCTACCACTGAGGATATTTCACATCAGCACAGTGGTAAGTGCGAGACGGGTGAGAATTCGCATCGACCGGCCACCACTGTTATTCGTAACCGGTTCACCTCATTGAGAGGCGAACGCTCTATCCCCTGAGCCACCACGATACCATAGATCTTATTTTATTTTATAACCTTCGTTGAAAAGCTGACCCAATTGTGAGTTTACGACTACTAATGCTCAACTCCGAAGCCGAGCTTAGGGTGATCGTCTACCACTGAGGAAGTCAGCACTGTGGTTGGTGACCATACTATCGATTTAATTTTATAACCATCGTTGAAGAACTGACTCAATTTTCGGGGTTTACGACTACTAATGTTCAACTCCGTAGTCTTGTGATTTCGAACCTAATCCATAAGATAAGGGAACTCCTGTATCAAATATTGGGAGAAATTTGCCTTCGAGGAGGTATTTTTGATGGAATTAACCAGCGTTTGCGTTACATGGAGAGGAAAACCTCAAAAACTGCCTACGGTTAGGTTAATTAGGTCCCCTACCCCCCCCCATATATGGGTATGCCGGAAAAATTTTCAACTTGTCGCCGTGACAGTCCAATACCTCCTAGAAAAGAGTAGGCCTCTGCACGGGTTACCATAAATATCCTTTAGTAGTCCAAACGTAATGACATATTTCGTATTTTCAACCACTGCGCAGCTTAGTACCCCGAACGTAATGACATCTTTCTTATTTTTCATCAACTGCGCAGTTAACTTCGTCACATCGGACTACTAATTTGATCCGTGCTGAGGCCTTCCTTATTCTAGGAGGTGTTGGACAGTCTCCCGCACAGGCGGAGGTGGAAAGAGAGTATCTGGCACACGCACTGGCCGAGAGTCCCGGCGAAGCCCCTCCGTGGCATTTATTTAAAAACAAGAAAAAAATAGTACTATTTTGGCAACAGCCCGGAGGTAATCGGGCAAAATTACAAAAGTAACAAATTCACCTCTAGAATTAAACGATTTACATGTATAATAGTTGTGATTATTCCGACTATTAACTAACAGGTGGAGTTAAACATCTTGATTGATGTTTACAATAAAATATATAAAAAATTCGAGAAAAAAAACTTAATTAAAGTTCATAAATTGGCCAACGGATCCTTATAGATATTTGAAATTTAATAAAATTAACGAAATCTACCATGTGAGCCGCAGAATTTACCATGTGAGAGCTGTCAAAATATAATGGAATTTGTGCAAGCACCATGAAAAATATTTTTGGTCAAACCTCATGACCGAAAACTGATGATTTGAAAATTTGAAGTTTAAAATACAGGAAAAATAATAAAAAGATTATAAGGGACAATTGATAAAAGGAAAAAACATGAAGTTAAAGGCTAAAATTATACAACTGACCAAAAGGGTCTAAAAATACAACATAAAAATTTGTAAAAGATCGACTCTCAAAGTCGATATAATAAGACATAAAAAACTACTACCTACGGTTAGCCTGACGGTAAGGGGTGCGCGCACTATAGATTAAAATTAATATAGAAAATGCTCAATTAACAAAAATAAATTGTTTGAGGTTTCGTTTTTGAATTTGAGTTTCTTGAAATAATTAGCACAATGATCAAATTACGGTGAAAAGTATTCACACTTAGATTGCTAGTATTTTTTTTAACTTTAAAATCCACTTTAACAGTTAAATTATGCGGAGCAAAATTCTGATATACAGTCATTTATGCATCAATATCCACTGTAAAATCACGGTAAATAAATAAATCTTACCACTTAAATTACGGTATAAAGGTTTACTATAAAAATCGATTTTAAAGTAAGAGGAATTTTAAGGATTCAGAGAGCCAGTATTTTTTACCGCGAATAAATTTGGAATTTTTTACAGTGCAAATGTTATATTCGAAAAGATATGGAAATTACATTTTTTCCCCAGGTTAAAATAATCATGATACCATTTTAGAGCTTCATCTTATCATACACAATAACATAACTTTACTACAACAACTAAGTTAAAATAATGAAAGGAATCTGTTCAAAAGTAGAAGGTAAATATAAATCTTTCAATCGATTGAGCCATGATTTATTTTTCGGGTTTTCAGAACTGTAGGTAAACGTTTCGTCTAATAGCATTAGTGGCACAAATTTTACACCAGCGAGAAAATTGCTTTTCAACTGAAGTGTTTTGGCAGCCTATCATTAAAATAACAAAATTTATTTTGTTCGTTAACATACCACTAAATGCCCAGAGAGGTGAAATACGGTACTGTTGAAGAATTTCAGTTGCGAGCTCAATGCATTAATTTCGTTATTTGTTTTCCTCCGTTATAATATTCCGCGATGATGTATTTCAGAAAAGTTTCTGAATCTTTCACTAACCAAGAAGTATTTATGCCTCTTTTATCTAGATTTTTAATCCTTTTATATGTACTGCACAAAGCAGTTAAAATAACGTGGTTTCATAAATTACAAATTTTGCATTTATTAAAATAGTTTTTGAATATAGTTTAAAGTATATCTGCAGTCAATTACTAACGTTATGAATAAGGATTCAGTCCTGTAAAATATAGATTAGACCAAATAATGTTAGTCACACTTATATTATAATATAAATTACACTACACTTTAATTTACACTAGTTATAATAGATCGATAAAAATAAGTGGCATCAGAGTTTACTCGAATTATTAAAATTTACGTAAATAATTTTAATTAGCACCAATTATTAAAAATTTTCAAATTACACCCTATTATAAACTGAGAGAAGAAGTATGGTAAAAGTTACCAGAATGTAGTAAAATTTATCGCATCTATATCCCTATGGTAAAGCCAAAAACCTGGGTGATTTTTACCGAAGAGCTTAGGTAGTGATTTTGTAAAATTAACAACAAAAAAAAATAGTTTTATAAAATGTGACAAAATTTGGTAATTTTTATCATCATATCTTTGCACATGATATAAAAACGATTTATTTTATTAAGTTTACTTTTCATTTTTGTGCTTTTTACTAACTGTGTGGTAATTTTTTTTCCAATGCCCACCTGGATAATGACCTAGGTCATACAGGCACCTGAAAGGCAGATTTGTTGGCCACTCTTTCAGGGGCACCATATTAGGTGGATCAACGTTGCTCCCACAGTAAGGACAGATAGTACTGAGGACAGAACATCCATGCCTTGCCCGGGATTCGAACCCAGAGCCTTTCTGACGCAAGGGTAGTTCCCTAGCCCTCTCTCCTCTCTTCGTGGTCACTAACTAGTTATATTATTTTGAAGCCCTTTTAATATTATTGATTTATTTCTTAAAATTAGGTGCGAAAAGTAGTGTAATTTTATAGAAATGATAAGTAAACATAATCTTACTTTAAATGCTGTCAGAATGGGATCTTCACTCGTCAAAGACATCCAAGCAGGACTTGCAAGGGCTTTATAAGTATGAATTCTTCTTAAAGAATAGCGTAAACTGTCTGTATGCATTCCTTCATGACATTTTTGACATGAACATGACAGAGGATGGGGTTTTTCAATGACTGCACCTCTAGATAGCAACAACTGCAGAATTTCAAACTGATTACAATGGGCAGCAAGGATAATAGGAGATATATCAGGGGAGTAATCAGAGCTCTCTTCGCCTGGTTGGCGAGTTTTTGCCCAATCATTAGCAAGCATCTCACTTGTAATGCTCGGATGGTTTATCAGCATTTCAACAATTTTATAAACACCTTCTCTAATTGCGTACAAGAGAGCGTCTCCAATCTTGACGCTCTCTTGTTGCAATAGAAGCTCAACTATTTCGACATTTTCGTTGTCCACTGCAATCTGAATCGCGCTTCGCCCAAGTATGTTAGTACAATTCACATTTACTGGGTTGGGCTTTTGTAAACATCGAACCATAGTTGGACGATCTCCTCTTTCAGCAGCTTCCAGGAAAGTTCTTTCTTTGGGTTCCATACTATGACCATCTTTCAAAGGTTCGAGAGGTATAGGGATACGGTATTGGTTCGTGGTTTTTGTACAGCGGGGTGCATTCTGCTTACCCATTTTAGCACTTTTTAAGCTCACAAGACGCATCAGCACTCGAAACACTTTTTTGAGAAGAGCGACATTGAACTAATTTTATGTTGTTAAGGGCTACATTTTCCAAACATCTTTTACCTCTGCAGCTAAGTACGAAACCTGAAATTATGAGTACAAAATTATTAAAATATTTTAACCAAAACCAAAATTTTTTAAAGATTAAAAAAGAAATAAATAAAATAATACGGCACATTATATGACACATTATGGCACATATGGCATAATACGGCATATTATGGCACAATGTGGCATATTATGGCATATTATGGCACAATATGGCATATTATGGCACAATAACAAAATGATAAGATTTGGCGGAATTGATAAGGCGATGTTGAAAATATGAATGGAGTATATGCTTCTAGTTAAAAATTACCTAGCTACAGTCGCAGTTATTCAGTCAAAAGTTAGAAATTAGAAAAGTAAACTTAGTACATAGGGTCTGTTTCACGACACGGGGTTCTTGGAGTCCGTTGCACATTTCTTCAACTTTTGAGAAGTTTATCGTTTGACAGTAAACGGTGATAAATCATTTAAGGGTTGATTTTTCGTTTGTTTCAATTCATAACTTTCACATAAATCACTATTTTGAATATCTTTTTCAGAAATTTGAGCTACAATAGAAAAGTTAAAATCATAATGAATGATGAAATACAATAAACGATTTTTTCTAATTTAGGAAACATTCTGACTGGATTTGGTTTAACTATTCTACTTTAAATGCACCAATTAAATTCTCTATTTCTAAATGCCTGTTTTATATGAATTTTCATTTTGATGAAAAAATCGCACAAAATATTGTCGGTGCAGCGTTGGGAAATATTTAGTGTCAAAACGAAAAGTTAGATTTCAAAACATTTGAATTCTACACAAAATCGTTTATTCCCTACAAAAAGAGAAGGTAAGAATATCGCCATTCTTCTCTGAAGATGGAAATGGGGTTAAACTTTTCAGTTGGTTTTGAACGGCATCATTTTGGAGCGAGATCCTAAAGCTCAGTGACATAGAACTGATCCACTATTTTGTTTTTATTCATACACTATAAGTTTTTATAAATGTTTGAAAAAGTCAATATGCAAATCATAGGTTAATAATGCATAGCATGAAAAACTACATTTTGGTTAGAAGAAAATTTCGTCGTTTTAGTTTTCAAATACATAATTCGTCAGTTTGCACATTTGATATAAATTTTCTCAAAACACGCCCCCTAGAAATTATTCTAAAATCAAGAAATTATTCTAAAGCATTCTAAAAATATGCACCCAAATAAATCCGAGAAATTACAAAGATACGAATCCATCAATCCAAAGACGAGTTTAATTTTACTGCGCATTAGGATGGAATACCATTTGAAAAATTTAAATAGCGTTTTAATTTTAAGCTAACATTCATACTTCGAAGTTCTAATTCGAGAAATGGATCGATATTCGTTTATTTAACAATTTACTGAAATCTATTTTTAACAGTTTGCTAAAATTGTTTAACTTTACTAGAATTCATTTTTATGATTTAGTTAAATTATTTGCTGATCGATAACAGTACAGATGAATGTTCAGTATACGTAGCTTCAAAATCTGTTGGATTATTAAATTAAAATAAGCATCCGTGTCTTTAAAGTGGGAAATCTATAAATAGGCTCTGGAAACAGAATTAAAATAAAAACTTACCAAACTTTCTAAATGGCCGTTTATCTTGACTAAAATTTAGATTAAAATTACTATAAAAATAGAAAATATTTTACTTGTTTGTTGTTATAAAATCTCCTCTTCTGGGTCTGCTGGAACTTACTGAAAAAAATAATAATAAAATTAAAACTTACCTCTGAAAAGCGAGTTTCTGCTTTCAAATACAATTTCGATGATCATTTACTTTAAAAAAATTACAATTATTTTTGCCAATGTTTAGATACATTTTTATTTCAATTAGGATTATTTTAACTTAGTGATTCAGCTATACAAGCATCAAATTACGAGATTTACATATAATTAAATTTTCATAATAGATACGAAGTTCCAAAGAATATTAAAATCATTTAGAATGATTGATTATCCTGTTTATCGCATATTATTATGTAGATGAGTTTTAACTCAAGTATTTTGCAGTATTAAAGATACATAGTATCTGAATAATTTAATTTCGAAGTGTATTATTCCATAAAGTATTCATGAAATATTTGTTTCGTTGAAACATTCGTTTTAAATATGTAGTTTCTTTGTAAATGAAAAAAAATAGTAATTTTAAAAGAAAAAAAAATATTGCATTTTAATTTTCTTTGTTTATTGAAATTTGAATATTGTTCTGAATACAAAATAATTTATTCCATAATCTTGAACAATGAGTATAATTTTATTACGACATTTGCCAAATTTTATTGCATAATATAGAACTATATTTTACTGTTAATTTTACCAAAACTGTTATCAACGGTAAAAATTCCGAGATTTTGGATGTTTCCATTGAGTCAGAAACAAGATACATTTTACCATATTTTGGCGCTTTTAACCATACTTTTTATACTCTCAGTGTACCTTTCGAATTTTTTGACAAATAAATTTACTTTGATGATTTAATTTTAATTTGCAATGCTGAAAAATTAGTAAAGTTTTGGTTTCTTTTTACTTAAAAAGAAACCAAAGGATTTTGGAATTTTACTATCCTAGGTTTTATTATGTTCAATTCTATCTAGAACCACTAAAATATGCGAGTACATTATGAGTAGTGATAAGAGAAAATACTACATTGTAAAAAAACTGGGTAAATCTTTAACCAGTATTTAACCAGTATTAACTTATTTCAATAGGTCAATGTTTTATTTGCATTAATTAAAGTTAATTTCTTTTATGTTTCCATTTTAAATTTGTTTTGGGGTATAAAATGGTTTGAGGTATGCCATAAAATAACATGCTTACGGTAAATAGTTTTGTTACAGTAAATAGCAAACTTGGCCTGCATTTGAGTGCTTTAAAAATGCCTAATAATGGGGCAACCTTTCTCTGTTTTTATAAAAGAAGAAAAATTAAAATAGGCGTCTTGTTACTTCAAAACACCTACTTTTGGTACAAACTTTTACTGATATTTAGAACTAGTGAAATACCACAATATGGTAAAATATAACTTCAATTTAAGTAACCAGCAAATGAATACCAATTTTTGGTTCAACGTGGTTTGGAATTTTTAACAGTGTACACAAGTTTTTTAAATGGCAAAAATTATAGTTATTGTATTTTTTTCTTATGCATCTATCTCGAGAAATTTATCTGAGTACAGTTTATTTAAACAAAATTAATTAGAGATCATTAGAGGTTAATTTTTATAGACGTGGAAATAAAAGGATCATAAAGTAAGTCTTACAATTTTTGACCCTCGCACTTGAGAAGGTTAAAGCATAAACAAAATTGTAAAAGCTTAAACACTTTATAAATACACAACACAATTTATTAATTTGTTTGATTCAACTGAGTTTAAAACTCTTTTCGTAAAACTAGAATTCATATTTTGTTTATTTTTCTAACGTCAATTTTATCTCTTGATTAATTTTTTATAATTCCTCTCAGTAATTTTGATTACTTTTTTCCTGTTACGAAATATTTGTTACGAAAAAACAGAAAGCTTTTTTGTTTCAATTATTCCTACTTCTAAACTTATCGCTTCAATTATTCAAATCTCAATTAGGAGCCTTTCATTAGATTAAACTTCTTCGATACATATTAAAATGGGTGTTTCAAACAAAATTAAAAACGTTTGTAACGGTGAATTAACGCCTCTTGCGCATATCCGACAGCTATTTTTTTCCAGCTACTTTAGCTTCTATCAAAATATTCTGTCTTTCTTAGATCCTTAATTACCGAATATTTTTCTTTAAGACGCTATCATTCTATGAGCAATAATTGAGAGTGAGCTCTAGAATTTAATTTCCCGTTTGCTCGTATTTGCAGAAAATCAATGATCAAAAACTTTCAGAAATAAGTTTTTGTTGCTTAAGGGATCATATATTGAACTTTTCCAGAACAAAGGAATATGATTTTTTGAATTTATACTAACAAATAAATTAAATTCTGTAATGTTAGGATATTACATCCAGAATGGTTTTTTTTGTGATATAGACTTATAACGTATGCATTTATGCATTATTATATGTTATGCTGAACTACAAGTCTAGACTTCTAGTTTTCTTTTTGGGTGTTAAATATTATTCATAAAAAAAACTAGAAACTTAAGAGAATCAAAATTTGAAGCGAAAAAAAAAAGAATCAATATTTATGATAAGCATAAAAAATAACGTATAAAACTAAAATGATTCACTATTCTAAACAAGGGAAATATTAATACGTAAAATATTGGAAGTTTCAAAGATTTTTTTTTCATGTAGTGATTTCAGTTTAAGTAATTTGTTTTATGCAAAGATGCATTAGTGTGGTTCCTACTTCTTTTAAATTGATAGTTTTAAAATTACATCAGAAATTTGAAACGATATGTTTGAATTAGAGAGTAATTTCAAATAGTATATGCAGTTTCATGATTCATACTAAAAAGGTTTCCTAACATACTTAAACGCCTTTATATTGTCTATTTAGTTTAAAAATGTCATTTTTTTAAATCCTTAGAAATAGTCTTCTAAATTGTAACACGTACCACAAAAAAATGGTTCATTTGAAATTCAAAATTCATTTAAAATAAATTTAAATGCCATGACGTATATGAAAAAATAGTTCAACCTATTTATTAGTGACAAAGATACTAACAAAATGTTTCGAAAAGTAATGCATCTCATATCAACTCCTTGCATCACATATTAAATCTAAGTATACTGCAAAAACTTTTGGAGTTATTAACATAATTACACTATTTTTGGTGTTAAAACTAAAAGTTTAACAATGCATGTAGTCTCATTTTTACTTACTTTTTTATTTCTATAGTTTTATTAATTTATTTACTCTTTTTTTGTTTGTTAATTTACTAACTATACATATTTTCCTGCGCATTAAAATCAGTTTAATGATTTCAATGCAATAACATTTCGTTTTAAAAGCAAGCACATTTTAGTAATATAAGCGTATTAATTCTATCAAAAAAATTGTTCTTTTGTCAATTTTTTA